CTGAATCTAATATCCTGATACAAAGGTAACCCTAATTTAACGGAAGCCTATTCCAAAATAACTTGAGCGAACAATTCTAACGCAGATGATTCGGTCAAGTTGAATAGTTAGATAGCTCGTACGAGTGCTGATTCGTCAGAATCAGATTGATTAGGTGCAAGAAATCGAAGGCTGAAATAACGATGAATTGCTTATGAATTTTTGGTGTTCATGTAATGTATATGTTTATAATTATAATATTCTTGAAACGAATGACGATTTTGAGATAAATTTTTTCTCCATTTTTTGTAATGTAATTTCAAATATTTTTAGAAAGGAATGAAGCTCGTTTCCATCACATTTTATTACAAAATTTCTATCAAATGATGCAGGATTACATATAGGAATAACTTAATAATTATTTACCAATGATAGAACTTTGAATGCTATGCCATTAAGACAATCAGACTTTTCTTTACTCCTTAACCCTCTTCAAATTCTTAGATCAAGACCAAACTCCTGAGTCATTTAGACACCTAAATAGGTCGAGAAGTTAAAACTTGAAAGAAGAAATTTTCTTTTTTTCTCTCTCTTTCTCATGAATCATTTCTGAAGTTTGTCAAGTTTTTGACTTCCAGAGGAAGGGAGGAAGGATTTAAGCATAGTTTAAAAAGATTCAAAAGTGTTTAACGAGAAATTCTCGTGAAGAAACTAAAGATCGATTCGAACAGCGTCCTTTTGAAGATCCTCGAGTAAGAAACAATGATCTGTGACCTGGAAGTAATGATGTGCTTATGAGAACACGAGTTTTGCCCAGTAAGACATTGACAAATTATCGTTGAAGAATCTGATCCAAAAGTATATCCTCTAATTCCTTCGAAACTTGAACTTATACATTATATATATATATATTTCTTATTTTTTAAACTAACCTCAAAGTTTTCAAAGTTCTCTTTTCCCAGAATAAAACTTTACACTCCTAAAACTCGCTTTATACATTTTCTTTTCTCTTCTTTTCTTTTCTTTTTTTTTTTATTACAGATTTTCAGATAAATTACATTAACGAAGAATGTTCGATTGAATTTCGAAAATTGAAAAAAATTTTTTTTTTGCAAATAAAATTTTCAACAGTTGTAATTTTTTGAAATACTAACGAATAAAAAAACACAGATTGAATTATTGAGAAAAGTGTTTCATTCGAAAAACTCACCATCATCAACTTTTCGAATTCTTCCTCGATAACGGTGCCATTGTAGTATCGACTGGTGGATTTGATGTCGGGATAATAAAAGCCACGTTTGCAGATGCATCGATAGCTTCCACGACGGAATCCCAGCCCTGGGATCGCGATGCACTGTAATGGAACGATAATTAGGTGTTGATAAAGAAAACGGGTCGTGGAATGGAAACAATGGAATAATCGAACTTTCTTTCTTTCTTTTCTTTTCTTTTTTTTTTTTTTTTTTTTTTTTTTTTTTTTTTTTTTTTTCGAACGAATTATCATCGATCGATTTTCGCGAATCGAATCGAAGATGGATGGATTCTCGAAATTTTTACAATGGTGTCCAAATGATATTTGGAATCTCATGAAAATTATTCGCATTGAATTTTATCTTATATATATATATATATTGAAATTATATATTTATATAATTTATAAATTATATATTGAAATTTATCTTATACATATTCCTTTTGTAACAAAAAAGTATGTTCAGGAATCATGGAAATACCAACCTCTGTAGTCCGCTTCTTGCATTTGTCACTGGCTGCGAATATGTTCAATTGAGTGGAGCCCGGAGGCAGAGGGCACTGATCTATGTCCAGCCTGCGTAGGTCGATATCTATCCCACTCGTTCCCCTGAAATGAATAATCGAAGAGATAAGAGTTTCGTTCGAGAAAAAAGTGTAAGTGTATTTTCGACAACTTTTATTAGGCCAGATAATCGAAAAATTTTTGCAATTATCGTTTCATCCGATAATATTTTTTCAATACAACTTTTACAAGGGAATTATTTCGAATTAAAAAACGAGGTATTTTATATTTGATTCAAATATTATATTTTCACTCGTCGATCCGATAATATCGATTGGAAAAGCCTTTCAAAGCCGAAACTTCATCAAAAGTTGTTCGCTCGATATCAATCGTCTTTGACGCGAAGGCGACGAGCTCTAAAAAAAAAAAAAAAAAAAAAAAAAAAA